CCCCCAAAGCCCCAGCAGATAGTTGTAGGTCATAGCCGCACATCCTTCTAGTTGCTGCATGTGGGACGCGGCCTCAGCATGGCCGGAGAAGCGGTGCGGCGGTGCGCGCCCAGGATCGAACCCGGGCCGCCAGGCCCAACATCTTTGGGTAAGCAATAGGGCAGACTCTGAAGGTGACAGGAATCTGTAACTCACAGAAATGAGTTTTTTGTGCAAGGACAGACAGTGGGGAAGAGAAAGGCAAAGAACTGAGGCTTAAATTTCTTTGCAGAAATGAAAATAAGAGCAAAAATACCCTAGGAGGGGAGTTCCAATAGTCCAGAATCTGTTAGAGCCAAAGTGACCCTTCTCTAGCCACTCATTTGCAAGGACATGTGTCTGTTCCAGCAGGAGAAATGACATCCTTAAGAGACTGACAGTTGTTAACTGCAAGAAAATATTCCTTCAAAATATACTCCTGTGGAGAAAGCGAACATACATTTAATGACACCTCTGCTCGGGTGCTTTATCTACACCGATTTGCTTTAATCTACAAACCTATGGGGATGCGGATGGCCTTAACTTCATTTACAGTTGGGGAAACTAAGGCTTGGGGAAGTTGAAAAACCTGAGGTCACAGCTGACAAACCAGAAAGCCAGTTAAGCACCCAGATTTGCCTGCCCTTCCTACTACCCCACCCGGCCTAAGCTGCCATTTTGTCACAGGAATACACTATAGAAGATCTATTTAACTCCTTGCTTCTCAGCAATGTGATACCCTGTTCCCTCCCCCAATGTCTTCCTTCACACATAGAAAAATATCTACTACATCTCTCCTCAACAGAAAGACCCACAACCTTTTAAGAAATTTTTGTTATAAAACATTTAATGTTAACCTACAATACAATGTAAACTTTTATGAAAAAAATTTAAAGTACACTAGATTTTTTCAGTAAATTATCACATAACTATTCAGGTGCAGTACAAGTCGGGGCACTGCATGCCTTGTGGATGGATTCCCTGTTGCTGCGTTCCTCACAAGTCCTAAGAAAACCAGTTGCGAAGCGGAGCTCCTTGTTCAAGCACCAGATAACACTCCCCTGATTTTGCATTCTAGGGGTTATCACTCCTCCCACAGTCATTTTCTGAAACTCTTTCCTTGGCCTTGGCACCATTAGCAATTTTCATTATAACTGCTCTGTTGAAGATTCTAGGTTCATTTTAGTTTTAGTTTTTTTCTTTAAGAGCTAAATATTCTCCTCTGGCCATCTCTTATCCAAACATCATGGTGGAGGCAAGCAGGGAGAAAGAAATAATTGTCACAGGAAATTCTGCAGAGTAGAAGAAAAGACCAGAAGGGCCCCACTGAGGCTGCAGAAACACAACTGACTCCAACAGGGTGTCTTTGCTTGGTCATTTCCCAGGGTTATTCAGCTGCATCTACAACTTCAGTCTCGGGAGTGCGGAACGGAACTTGAAACAAGTGTTCTCGTTCAGATGACTTGCCATTTGGACACAACAGCTGAAATAACCCAGAGGTGATATGGAAACAAGAGCAAATGCTTGCAGATCACTGGCTTCTCAGTATTTTCTCCCTTGCAGGTCCATCAAGTTCCCAGAGGTCCTTGGGAGTAACAGAAAGATTGTACTGGCATTAAGTGACAAAACGTGCATCTTTCACGGAGGAGGAAAGGAGATGGCACCTAGGCAGCAGCTCTAGGGTCAGCAAGGAGACAGGAAGGGGGTCTGAGTAAAGCACAGCTGTTTCAACATGGACTAGGAAGCAGCATGTGCTTCAGGCGAAGCCTCTTGAAACCTCAAGTAAATGGGTAGGCCATCCCAAGAGCTGTACCGACACAAGGAGACTTTTTCTCAATATTCTGGCATCTGACCTTCACACAACAAGTTATTAAAGGGCAAGAGGCATAAGGTGCACATTGTACAAGATGCAGATTGAATTATTAAGGAAAAAAACGTACAACTTCCCAAAGAGGTGTGGGCAAGACACTTAGTACACTCAGCCTAGTGCAGGGCCCTACTACCCTCCTGTATCCTACCAGGAAAACAGCTGTGAATTCCAGACACGGAGGGAGGATCTGAGCTAACTGGAAAAATTCCTCTCTGCGTGGTTGTCAGCAGGAAGCAGACTTCACATAAGGTGGAGTGGAGAACATGGTTTAGCCTGGGGTTCAGTCCAGACACATTTTATGGCAACAGTCTGCGATTTCCCACTCACCTGGCCTTGGGACAGCAGGAAACCAAGCGGAAGAAGAAGAGGCAGCCAGGAGCAGAATTAAATTTTCCTAGAGATGGTGTTCCGGACACCTGTACCAAGGCCATGGGGAAATGCTCAGGCTCTCCAGCTGCCATCTGTGAGGCTCCTCAGCCCGCCCCTTGGTGTTTACCCCAACCACTGAGGGCTGCAGGGGACAGTAGCCATGCACTGCTATCTAAGAGTGGGCCTTAGGTTTTAGCTAAGCAAGACAGAAAACCTTTGGAGACTGCAAATCTAGCAAGTTATGCTTGCTCTTGAATAGGAAGCCCCTGGCCTCGCAGCATGCTCAGAGCTACAGTAATGTGAGTAGGCAAGTCTGCACCAGTCTAGCTATAGAAGACTTTGGAATACTTGTCAGCTCACGCGGGCATCTGTTAATACACGGCCTGACCCATGTACCCATTACCACAAACAACCACAGACAAGACATCCAGAGGTTAAAAACCCTATACTTCAACACAGCAATGGAGAGGAGGATAAAACCTGCCTCCAGTAGGTGGCTACATCAGAAACTGGAATATGCCTTCCAATGGTTTACACAGGATGAAGAGTTCTGTCTTGGCTCCGTTCAAGGCCTCTGGTTCTGTCCTAAAACACCACCACCACCACCACACTCCCACTGAGACAGGCAGGGCACTCTCACCTGGTTCTGCTGGTTCCACCACAGGCCCTGCTCATCCTGTGGAAAGGCACCAAGCTTGGCAACTCAGGAAAGCTCAGGGCTGGGCAGGAACAGCATGCACATGTCAGAAGAGGAATGAAGAGCTGCTATCCTTCCGTTCAGACCCCTAATAAACACCTGGTACAGATTCCAAGGAAGAGCTGCAGTTGTGTGTACACATGAGTATATGTGGAGTTCACACTGCACATATGGGCATATCTATACATACAGTCTTTGTGGGGCTATGAACCCAGATTTCCTGCCACTGCTCCAAGTGGGATGCATAGGTGGCAAGAAAGGACAGCAAGAGTTGGACCAAAAAGGAACGACCTCTCTGGGAACGTGAGAGGGACAATGGCAGAAATAAGCACAAACCAGCCCAGGGCACCTTTATTACACTCTTGTGGGCTAAGGAGCCCAGGGTATGAACTCATGGGTTTAAGAATTGGCTCTTTATCAAATAAAATAAAGTTAAGAAAAAAAATACACCTATGTCAGCCTCATTCCTTTGGTCATTACAAAGTAACAGAAAATATTTAAAAGTTATTCATAAATTGTGGGAAGTTCAAGGAACATCTCCGCTCTGTGCCTTCCCTTCCCTCTCTTCTCCCGAGGAGAAGCAAGTCCTCAGGAGATCCTGCAGTAGCTGGTTGATGGAGGTTTTTTCACTTTTATTTTCCATAAAAGCAAGAATGAATGAGAGCTAGTGGGAATGTCCCCTTCCCCGGTTGGGACAGCGGCTGGGTTGGAGGTGAAGAGTCTCCTCTCGCCGGAAGGTGCGTGGTGCAGAGGCAGTACGAAATGGCGGGCCTGCCAGCGGGAACGTTCACTGCCAACCTCGTGCACACACACAGGTGGTGACTCCTGCAGGCAGCATGGTTTCTGATCCTTCCTTAGGATGCAGCAGTCTTTTAAAAAAAATATTGTATTATAATAATAATAACATGAATTTCTCTTGCTTTTTTGTTTGTTTGTTTTTTCCTTTTCTTTTAGGGATGGGGTGGGAGGGGAGAGGAAGAAAAAGTGTCACTCGTCTGTTAGGTCCTGAACAAAGAGAACTTCTGTGTGGCTGAGTCCTGCCTCTTGCAGCGTTGGGGGGTTGGGCCACTCCTCTGAAGGGATGCAGGGCAACACCCGCCGGGGAAAGTTGGCTTCAATCTGAAACTTTTCAGGGCTTTCTTTCAAGGAGAATAAGAAGTCGTGGATTACCTGCAGATGTCATACAGAAAAAGAAGGGCAGTGAGAAAAAGACAAAGACAGACAGACAGAGACACACTCCCCTATGAAATCAAATATCCCCCAGCTCTCCCCAGGATGACTCTGAGATATGAAGTAATCACATTACATTGGAATTCTATTTCGAAGTCCTCTATTTCACAGAGCAAATGCGTACGGCAGCTCTTTTAAGAGATTAATTACACAGCCCAATGCTAGTCCTATTCTGAATTGATTCATCTGTTTCTTTGACAACTTGTCTGATTATAAAGCTAAAAAATTTTTACTTAGAAATAATCAGAGTTACAGAAAAGTTAGAAGTACAAGACATAGAACCTTTTTCTTTGAATCAGTTGAGAGTGAGCTGCTGACCTGATGTCCTATCACCCCAGAACACTCGCGTATGTCTTACAGACAGGATGATCTCCTGCGTAACCCATAAGACAGCCCTCAAAATCAGAAGATTTAACTGATACGTTATTACTGTAGTATGATAATATATATTAAATTATTATTCAGGCCCCATTCAAGTTTTGCCAGTTGTCTTTTATAGCAAAAGGATCCAGTTTAGAATCGTGTGTTGCATTGTCATGTCTCCTAAGCCTCCTCCTTTAGCCTGGAACAAATCCTCAATGTTTCCTTGACTTTCATGACCTTGACACTTCTAAAGATTACTGGACAGTTATCATTTACAATGTCTCTCGATTTGTCTGATGTTTACTCAAGATTAGATTCCAGTTATGCGTCTTTGGCAGGAGTAGTACAGAAATGATGCTGCATTCTACTCAATGCACCCTACTCAGGTGGAGTACAATTTCAATTTGTTCAATTACCTATAATGTTCACTTTGATCGCCTGACTAAGGTGGTGACTGCCAGGCCTCTCCACTGTTAAGTTATTCTTTTCCACTTTGTAATTAAAGAGTATTTTGTGCGGAGGGACTCTGAAACTATGGAGACATGATGTTCCTCAAAATTCCAATTTATTTATTTATATTTATACAGAGTCATGATTTCCTATTTTATTCAATAGCTTATAATGTTACAATCATTATTTATTTTAATGTTCAAACTGTTCCAGATGGTGTCAGAAGGAGCCCATTCAGGCTGGCTTCTGTGTCTTTCTGACATGTCCCCATCGTTCTTTGAATAATTCCTTGCTTTCTCGCACAAGGTGTTCCAGGCTGATCTTGTGTTTTCTCTGCCCCAGCCCTGGAATCAGCCATTTCTCCAAGGAGCCCCGGTTCTTCTTACAGGACAACAGTAATTAAAAGTGACTCTCTAGGTACTAGGTATGTTCATTGCTATTAGGGTGTTGCTGCTTCCAAGCATTCTCTGGGGAGAAAACTAGAGTATGTGTACATACCCATACACATCTACATCTATATTTCTATACATATATAAGTATGTATATGCACAATAAAACCATGAGTTCATTCCCCCCTCCTCCTCAGGCTCTGGCTTTAACACTCTACCCAACCCCATGCTGCTTGGGCTCTGACTTCTCTGCACTGGGCAGCCCCCACAAGTAGACACTCTCCGTAACTTGATCAAGATCTGACACCCTCTCTGTAGGCCTCTCCTCTGTGGGAATGCCCCCCTCACCCTGCTCTGGCTCTGACAAGGTTCACATAAATTCCTAATAAGAAGTAAGGCAACATCAGAAAAACTCACATTGCTAAAACTTAAAATGTGAGATACCTGTGGAATAGGCCACCTATATCTTTCCCTGTCTCTTAATGTTACACATTAATAACAGGCACACTGGATCTGCTCAATGGCCCTCTTCATCTAGCATTCTGTTTCTGATGAAGAGTCTAAGGGATGTGTTGTGAAGGGTGTAGCTAACCTCTTTCAGGTCAATCCCAAAGATTAGGAAACACCATTCAAGTTACCCTTATTTTTTGAGGGAATCTATTTTCATTTTGTTACCTCTCCTCTGTTTATTCTCTTCTGTGTGAAGCAGTCCTTTCTTCATTTGTCTTCAACTTACCTCTTTAGAGCTGTTAGGGGGCGATAACTCCAGAATTCAAGGAGTCAATCTATGTTCTTATCTAATCCATTCACGATTTTATAAAGTTTTCATATTTTAGTCTATCAACCTCAATCATTTTCAGTTCCTTTCTCTCTTTTTCCATTAACATTCACTCTCCTTTTTTTCCTTGAGAGGCATCAATTAGATTTGCACCAAGTATTCTTGATATGAACCCAAGGTGGGTTTCAGATAAGGGCGAACTAACATTTTGTTTACTTTTCAATCATTGCTTGAAAATACTCAACATTGGTACAAAACTGGCATTTTTGGTTTACCACCGACAACGGGCTAATCCTACGACATCACCTCCAGAGGTCCCTTTGGTTCATAATTGGATAGAAAAATGAGTTCTTGACTGAGTATAATTTGGAGTCTCTCTAACATGCATTCACTTAAGAGATAGTCAGCTGCCACTTTTCTGCCCATTCATGGGACCTGGAGATTTTTCCATAGTTTATCCTTTTCTATTTTAGCATTTTACTACTATCAAGAGCTGAGCATCATGTGCAAAACTAAATATTTCACTGACCATTCACTCTTTGAGATTATTTATGAAGGGCAGAGCTCAAAGAAGATGACAAAGTCTGCAAGAGGACTAACTTTAAATCATTATTCAGTTATATGTTATTAACTCTCTAAAGGTGAAATTAAAGGCCAGCACTGCCACTACACTTCTCTTCCTTCACACTTCTTTCCCCTCTCTGAGCCTCATCCCCATTTACAACCAAGTATTTCTCTCGGTCTAAGTGTGTGTGTGTTTTTTTTTTTT